AATCAGTCTTATAAACTCCTTGATTTCGCTTAAGCAACTTTAAATATAATATGCATGCACAATAAACTATAGTAAAATTTATTTACATCACTCGACAGAAAGGTTTTTTCAGGTTTTAATAAAATGTAAATTAATAATAACAGTCATCTGCGCCTCAGGCTTGCACAGAATCGTCAACTCAATCAGAATCTTCGGTAATCCTCGGCAAACTTTGCCACGGCTCATTCGGTTCTTGTTGAGTCCTTGGTAATCCTCGGCAAACTTCGACAGTTGGTTGAACTGGCTGAATCGGTTCTTTTTGAGTTGGACGTGGTACTTCGGGCTGTGCGTCTGCGTCATCAACCCGGAACTAAAGTTCGATTCAGTTCGATTTGTGAACCGGCTCAACCGGTTACTTCCTGAGAACCGGCTCAAAAGAACGATTCGTTCAAGAACCGAACATCACTACACCAGACTATTCCTGGACATTTCCCACAGAACCAGCTACCCGGACGATGCACTCTGCTCGTTCTACATTGCAAGCATTAACACCGCGTGCAGAGCGCAGTTGTCCAGAGATGGTCCTCGAGGGGATTTCTCCTTGTTTGTGGAGTGGGTGCTGGTGAGCAACGGATCCAGTTTCACCATTGGCACCGCTGAGGAGGACACTACCAGCCCCACTCCGGACCCAGAGCCCGGCCAACTGTCACCCCGCTGCAAGGAGCAACAGCCAGAGTCCACCGCAGACGAAGAGCCAAAGCCCGCCACGACCAACAAGCCATTGCAAGAAAGAGGACAGAGCTGAAGATCGCCCCAGAGCCAGAGCCTCACCGATCGTCTGAACAGGTGTGAGAGCCGGCAACAATGCACGCGATGGTGGATGAAACAGTGGAGAGCAAGGAGGGCTCGGAGGAAAGCCCTGCCTACTGTACCACCGCTGAGGGTGAGCTGAGGCAGGACTCAGGGGATTTAATAGACATTTATTCAGTTATCCCCAGTCTTCCTGTCGCGACCATGGAGGTCGTTCCCCTGTCCGTGGCACTCCCTGTCATGGGTGTCGCCATTTGGTGTGTGTGGGCAGCACACACCATCCCAGAACCCGCTACCAGTCGCCTGAGCCATCTGCTTCGCCTTGGCCCTCCGATAAACTTTCTAAACTGAAAGTTTTTGCACTGAGGATGCACACACATCATCTGTCAAAGCGCCTGACAGGGCAAGCCATTAAGCTAATGCATTAGCTTAAAATAAAGAATTCTCGTGTTTTAGGCAGCTTGGATCACGTAACTCTCCCGCAGTATCTCATTCGGTTTCCTCCACTATTTTTAGATGCATTTTGTCCATAGAAATGCTTAATTCAGTGCTGTAATTTGACGCGACCAGCTGAAGTTGGACATGCACTGTGGGCAGACCCTACTAATCGATAATGAGAATCGTTGTCGATGATTTTCATAATCGATAATAATTTATTTTATCGATTAGTTGTTGCAGCCCTAGTGATGATACACAGGTAGGGATGCTCCGATCAGGAGTTTTGCAGCCAATACCGAGTACCGATTTCTTGTCATGGTGATCGGCCGCAGACGTGTGCAGTGAGGTGAAGATCAGCTCTAACGTCCCTGAATCTGCTGTTAAATATGAACCATCCATTCATCATATCATCATGCAAAACATACACGACAAATAGCAAATTTTTCATTGTTTCTCGAAACGTCATAGCATTTCCACACCGGCGATGACATGACTGCGGCGCCAAATCATTTATGTCCTCACGCATCATGTATGTCCTCACGCGTTGACGTCATCAAATTGCAATTGGTTCGTGAGATCGGCCAAGTTAGTGAGTACCGATCGAGTCATAAAATGTGATTATTGGCCGATACCGATCTCCGGCCGATCGATCAGAGCATCCCTACTTTTAATACAATAAACAACAAGTTAATATTGAGTAAATTCGGACAAAATATTGCCAGTTACTGCCAGTTACTTAGAGTCATGCATTGTGTGTCTCTGAGCAAACACGCAATATTAGCATTCCTGAATTAAAATTAATTACCTTGCATAATAGAGCTGTGATCCTGTCACGGGTGTTGTAGTAGCTGGAGTTGACCCATATCACACGGATGAGGTTAAGGATGTGAGCGAGTTTGGGTGCAATCTCACGAGGTTTAAGCTGAGCAAGCTCCTCACATGGCTCTTTCAGTAGGGACAGGAAGGAGACGTTTGACTGAGCCTGCAAAGTACTATCCTGGAGGAAAAAAAACAAAAATCAATGTTACTTCAATGTTGGAAAATAGATAGAACAAGATATAGAATGATAGACAGAATGAAGGATAGATGCATAGCTGGATAGATGACAGATAGATAGATGCATAAACCAAAAGAAAGAATGTTAAATAGATCCTTAGACAGACAGACAGATAGACAGATGCATAAACCAAAAGAAAGAATGTTAAACAGATCCTTAGGCAGACAGACAGACAGACAGACAGACAGACAGACAGA